AAGTCGTGGGGCTTTAGATTCAAAGAAAACGGACAGCGTCCTTATTACGAGGGACACGAGAAACCGGATGTCATTGAGGATCGTAAAAAATTTATTAAATTCTTTCTGGATCATAAGGATCATTGCTATACTGTCGGTGATGGTGATCAGCCAATTTGGTCTCTGCCGCTACAAAAGCCGTATATAGCTTTACTATGTAAGTCAGTTTTCCAGCGCTGCTATTATTTCTAAAACTAAGTTTTATATGTTGTAGTTCATGATGAGAGTTCATTTCGCAGTGATGAAGTGAGTGCGAAACGGTGGCTGTTAGAAGGACATGAACCATTTCATTCCAAAGGACGAGGAAGGACAAACATGGTCTCCTATTTCATCACTTCTCATCTGTCAGGCCCTGCATTTCAGCTTGATAAAGATGAATGGAAATCGGCTACACGTGAATTTCTGAAGTTAGAAGAACCGACGGATGTCGTAAGTTCAAATTTTTTGCGAGTTTTTTACTTGGAAAAAAAATTTCTTTCGAATTGTTTCAGGAATATGTGGAAAATACCTGTACAGCCTCCATTCACATTGGAACGGATGCTTACTTCAATAACTCTACGATTCTGCATCAGTTTGAAAGATTGTTTATGATGTTAAAACATAAGAAAGCCTATTCAGATCACAAATTTGTCGTCGTCTGTGACAATGCCAGGACTCACACTGCTAAGTCTCACTCTCTACAAGATTTTAGTAAATCTATAGATACTAAATGTCCAGTCAAAACTATTGAATATGTGGATACAGATGGCAGCAGTAAAGTCTTGCAGTGTTATTATCAAACCGGAGTTAACGTGAGTTTAATCTTCGAAAAACTTTGATTTTTTCAAGTAAAACATCTGCGGTCTTCGATTCTTCAGAAAGGCAAATCCAAAGGGCTCGTCGAAATAGCCAAAGAACTGAAAGTCAAATTGCCAGATAAAATTAAGTTGGACGAGTTACGAACTCTTCTGTCCGACCATCCGGCTTTTAAAACGGTAAGAATAGTTAAGGGTAGCGCACCTTAAATCTAAAACAATGCCATTTTTTTCCTCTCTATCCGCTAGAAATCGAGGTTAGAGGTCTTAGGTGATAAGTACGGTGTTACCATTCTATTCTGTCCTCGTTATCATTGTGAACTCAACGTGACGGAGGGGTATTGGTGTTCTATGATGGATACTTTGGGGTAGCTGCAACATCAAAATTATAACGCTGAAATTATAACCCAAAAATTGATGTACCACCTACCCATACCTACTCATGTCTTGACGTTGCAGCAACCCTATTAAGCGGAGTTCGATCTACATGGACATTCAGGATTTATTTTTCTGTTTGGTCTGTGATATATTGGCATGGGTACATAGTGGTAGGTATTGGTAGGTATTTACCCATACCTACGAATATTGAGGTTGCACCCACTCGAAATTATCCAGGGGTCAGATTTTGGGAGGTTTTCTGAAAAACAAGTATTGCCACGTGAGTCAGCATGATTGATTACCTATGTTTCCATTATTTTCGGAGTTACCGCACCGAAAGAAATATTGATTCCGCGACTCTCAGGGAATCCGATGCCACGCCTAAATCGGGAAACTTAAGAGTTCGTTTAGTTCGCATTTTGGAGAGGACATATTGGACTACTTACCTCAACTTAATTTTAATTTTTTCTTCCTTACTCGAAAAAACAATCGAGTGCCCTGAGTTTTGGCGTCGATAGTAGTAGCTAATTACTATTTATGATTATTCATATTCGAAATATATAAAATTAATAAGACCCTATGCTAATATAAATCAACAGAGTAATATTCTTAATGAAAAAGAAGTATTATTTATGTTAGGTAGTATATTTCAAGTGAAACAAGTACAAAAATATGAAATAGAGAATTATTTGATGGTAAAATTAAAATTATCAAGTTAACTGAATGATCAACTTTTAAAAATGTTTACATTTATATGAAAGATATACGAAACGGAAGGTTTTTGAAACAATATAAAAATTCTTAGTCAATTATTCTGTGCCTGCCTATTATAGAGAAGTCAGAGAGTTCTTACATGCGGTCATCATTACATGACCGAATTGTTGTACAGCCGATTTTGATTAAATAGACATCGAATTAATCGCTGTTCAAGCAAATCCAACGATTAATGCATAGATAACCAGTAGAAGAATATGTGATCGAAAGATGGTGATCGCTGTTGATGTAATAGCTAGAAAGGATTAAAAAAGAAGAATTAACCAAGATTGAAGCTGGAAAGATGGTTGGGTTCTTCTCTGTACAAAAACGCTTTCAATACTTCATCAGTTAGGTAGAGAAAGAAAATGAAAGGGGATGCGATTCACATCGATTAATAAAGTGAATAGATAAGAGAAGAATGCTCTAGGAAGATGCATAACTGTTTGTGAATGCAGTATATGAGTGGTAAGAAAAGGGGTATGGAATGATTTGATGATTCGGTAGTGGAATGCGCGCAACAGGTGCCAGCAGCAGAAGGGAATGAAGCTAACATAGGATGGGAAAGAAAGAGAGATATGAATTGTCTCTCAAGTATGTTTATCACTAGTATGTGGAAACATTGCTGAGGTATAGGAAAGGTCAGATGAATAATGTATGATAGTTTTTTATTGAAGCAAGTTTCTTCTACATCACATGCTAAACCAACTGTCAATAACGTTTCTGATACTCCATCTTCCGATGTATTACCAGGTCGCAAACGTACGCGAATAAATGTTGAAAGTCCGTTCGGATCTCAACTACCTGCCGTTATCCAACCTCCATTTGGAGCTCGGACACCAATCGTTGTCTCGTTTCAAGGCTCGGTAGGCCTCAAGCTACAGACCCATTATACGTGGTTCCTCAATCGACGTCAGCAATTACTCTTAGTATTCCTGCTTTCGATAATAGCGATCTGCATAGTGATGAGATGAACGATATACTATCGACTAACATCCTCGAAGTATCAGCACAATGATGCTAACATCGAAGGTTAGTAAATCGATTAAGAAATCGAAGAATAAATCGACAAAAAAACCTGGAAAAAAATGCTTCTCCAACCACATCTTATCTCGACATATATGGACCGCGGTTTCGTCGATCATCATCGCGTAATGAATCAAGTTGATCTCGTTCTGCTTCTCATTCCTGCTTTTCAATCAGAATGCGTTTTAAGCCATCTAACCAACCGAGTGCTTTTCATATTTCAAGAGTAACGGAAGAAAAATACTTTTACTTACTACATGAATCACTGTTGAAAGTAATTTTTTGTATGCGATCGTTATCGGAATCAACTACATATAAATTACCACTGAGATCAAATCTGATTACACGAGGATTAGACAATTGATCTGATCCAGTGCCATAACCGCCGGCGACGAATATTCCATTAGTGGCACCAGAAGTCCAATTCATGATACGATGATTTTCATAATCAGATACATAAACATTACCAGTAGAATCAACTAAAACTGATGACGGACTATGCAACTGGTCCAAATTTGATCCATCTCCTTTTCCACCGGCAACTATTTGACCCTCAGATGATCCTTGAGGCCACTTGACTATTCGATGATTATCTGTATCAGCTATATAAACTGTACTATCAGAAGTAACAAAAATACCTTGGGGAAAAGCTAACTGGTTGAGCGATGATCCAAATCCATTTCCACCAGCTATCACGGTCCCACTGGCGGAATTTGGTGCCCATTTGGTTACTCGATGATTGTCTCTGTCTGACACATAAATATTACCACTATTGTCAACAAATATTCCTTCACAATCGCTTATTTGATTTGCAGCATTCCCATTTCCATTCCCTCCAGCTACTAATTCAGCTTGTGCGCCTCCACTAACGGCCCATTTTAAGATTCGATAGTCACCTTCGTCAACAATGTATAAATAATCATTTAATCCGAGAAATAGTGCCGATGGACGTGAAAACTTAAAACCAGTAGGTGGGAAAACGGTCACGCCATTAGATGATCCAGCAGACCATTTCTGTATTCGGTTATTCCCCCAATCTGCTATATAAATAGCCTGGTTCTTGTCCACAACTACATCGTATGGTTCACTTAATTCATTTTGTAGCGAGCCCGAACCATGTCCCCCTGCAGCTGTTGTTGTAGAAGAACATGTTGCTTTTATCACTGGTCTTTGTGCTTAAAGTTAAAAATTTCAGATGTTAGTGGATTAAAAAGCTTGAAATTCTCAGAAGTCCTCTCATAAATAAAAAAACAGCTGCAATCTGTCCCAAATCATCAAATGTAGTTCATATTTAACGTTGAACGGTATGTTTATTGCTTTAGCTTGTTGCATTGTACGTTTGTAGAACTATTTTAGTGGATTGCAATCTTTTTTTCTACATAAGTCTTGTTATGCAGTAAACAATTAGTTTCGCTGAAACGCAGACTTACTGTTAAAGAACATGTATCCAGGACATTTTCAGCGGCCATGTATCAGATTAACATGATATAAAGTTAATAACGTTTTCTTAGAAAGATGAATCGGATACGGAAGAGTTTGCCAGAGATTATCTCTAGTATGTAACGAACCTTTATTTGAAAAAACTTCATTAATATATTATTCGAAAAAAGAAATTTAATCTGAACAACACTCATTATTTAATGGATTTTCTCCAATCAGTTTTGGACAAAAATTTCAAAAAACAGCAGCCTCAAAAGTTACATTGTTCTGCAGAGGCGAAATAAGAATTCTATTCCACACTAAGGAAAATCAGTTGAAAACTGCCAATATATTGCTATGTTACATTTTCGCCTTATGAAATGATTTTCCTAAGATTCCCTAAAAAAACCAGCTTTTTGAAATATACTCATATATTTGAGAATGTGGCTTGTGTAATACTTCAGCGACTCAGTCACTTTGAAAACTTCATAGAAATGGCCGAACGGTAGAAAAATGCTAAATAGAGGATCGAGAAAAACTAATTTACTTGCCGCATAACAAAATGTGATTCAAAATGCGAAAAGTCTGTTCATATTTCTCAGGTTTTGTAGAAAACTCTTTAAAATACTGTCAGCGTTTTCTTTGAATTTACCGTCCCTATAGATATATCGATGTGTAACCCAGCTAAGATAGAGTATACTCCAAATTCCGCTTCCAATGCAGAAAAACTATTTGACGAATTTTCATTGCGTTTTATAGCTGGTTGACTGGAGGCCCTCTCATAAGGAAGGGTACGAGCTTTACGACGGTTGCAAATGTGATATTCCTCAAAACGGGGCCTTACGAAACAACCGAGACATCATTCTATCAAGAAACATAAACCTCCTATAGCGCACTCCTATGTTTTCTGTAAAACATATCACCGACAAAAAATTAAAGTTCATTTAGAGTTAAAGCAAAGTGCTTTTTCGTATTCAGCACACTTGATAACCTGGAAAATTTTCTATTGTTAGCGAGGGGTACCGACAAAAAGTTGA